TTGATTCCTTTTACAAGTTTTCCATTGAAAGTTGACTCAGTGCGACTTATAGATTTTAGAGGGTACATCTGCCCTCGCACAAGGGAACTAAACCCTACTTGAAATTCCTCATTCATCTGTAAATAAATACATAATTAATTAATTGGGTGAACAATCAATCAACGCGAATATCTTGATTACGCTCAAAGCGTTTCTTGTAAGCAATGTAATATTAAACCAATTTAGAAAGTCTTTCTTAATGACTAGATAATACAAAAAATGACTAGCATAGATAAAATCATACATTTGAAAGCAGTTTCTGATAATAACAGTAAATAAGAAACTAAACATAAAAAACGCGCGCAAAAACTGAATAGTCGCCGGACACCATCCTGAACCCATCCCAGGTAACGGATGTTTGGATCAAAAATGTTTTGAATTATGTTCGACAAAGACATTTTGAACAAAATTTGTGATATATGGTTATAAAAACCCAATCCGATATCAGTTACAGATTAATTCGAAGACGAACAAGCGCGACGAAGTAGAGGGCGGCAACGACGCTAACCTCAACACCCTAGCGAAACAACATTACATCAGATCCCAAACGCAAACACATATTTCTACTGCATCATTTACCGCCACACGACATAGTTTAACAATACAAACAAATATTGATACTTACTTTGAGATATTGAACGGATTGATTCAACGAAATAAAAGAGACGCCTCAGCACACAACGACACTACTTCGACACGAATCTTGTTCCTGCAATCCCAACGACACTGGCGCGCCAATTATGTTTTAAAAAATGAATTGAATATTAGTAAACTGTTTAAAAATGCGGTTCTGACAGAATTACAATACAAAACTAAGCTAAATTAATATATTCGACAAGTAATAAAAAAGGAAATTATAATTGCAAGGGTTGGTACAACTGACCACCGCCAACGAACAAACCGAGCCGTTTTAAATTAGATAACTTAAAATCATACATTAACTAACGCAAAACATAAACTAATAAATTTTCTTTCTTTACTCACCACGAAATTTATTTCCAATATATTTAACAACGACAGATTAAATTATTCACAAGTCACGAGTCACCACAACCGTTACAATACGCGGCAAACAACGACAAAAAAATCCCCGAAAGCTACAGGCAGTACTACCAACTTCATCCATTGAGCGCAATATGCAGCACTAACCCAAATAACTTCAAACTAGATACATTTTTAGAGAAAAACACTCTCTATATTTTTCCTTTATTAGATGTGATTGAATTTATCAATTTTCACGACGTTTTACAATTGACGCCAACTACCACCTGACCGTGAATAAAACTGTTGGTACGACTACAACACCGCCACCATTTGAAACACACGCCGGAAACGACAACAATACCAGACATTCCCTCTAGAGCATTGTGTATAGTTCAGAGATTTATTTTCGTGAAACAAATTTATTTTAGTGAAACTATTATCATACTCAAATAAAATGAGGTCTTTAAAATGGAACAGCAAAACAAGGAAAAAGTGTACAACAGTCTCTATCCACCACCATGTGAAGAACTAAGCAGGAAATTAAGTGAATTAGTGGAAGTTGCCCCAAAAATGCAGCTCTCTGAGAACATTGACTTTGGAACCAGCAAACAACTGTTCCCGTTATTGATTAGAAGAAGCATCAAAATTTACGAGAGTCTTAAGTGCACAGGATGTTCAGGATCACACCAATTCTACATAGCTGGTAAGTAAAGAACAACTTTTAATGCTATCATAATCCATCACAATAGAACTCCACTTTCAGCAGCTTCAAACACCACATAGTTTTACAATAATAACACATCATAATTTCAAGTAGAAGACATGCTTATTACAATATTAAAATATTGTT